AGTCCCCGCACTCGCCCAACCGGCACTGTACGTATACGAATAGTTATTGTACGATGTGACCGCGGTCCCCGACGAAAGTTCCGTGACTTGATTCAATCGACCTATCACCGAAGAGCATACCTGTGTGTAGGCGCCGCCGTTAGTTGGATCGGTCACGTAAGTGGTACTCGGTTCGTATATAACTACTCCTAATTGACACGCGGAAACACTCAGGTCCCAAACCTGGGATTGCCCCTTGCTGACTATGTAGAGCGACCACGGAGACGTGGCGAGGCTGCTCCCTTCCCAGTAAAGGACGAGGTCGGTGATGGTCGAGGTCGTACTCGGATATCCGAACGCCGATCCGGTGATCGTGATACCGCCTCTGTTGGCTATGTCGATCTCGACTTTCGTCGTCTGATTGCTTATGTATCCGCCCATGGTTCCCGTTATGTAGACGGATCCCGCGGTGTTGCCGGCGTTCGTGCCCCCGAACGTTGCTATCTTGTGGTACTTGACGGTGTTCGTCGTGTTCGCGAAGCCGAGCGTGGAAGCGTTCCACACCTTCCTCTGTAGACCCGAGTACGTCGTGGCGGATAAGGTCCCGGAGACGGTCACGTTGCTGTCGAATTGAGCCCCGCTGGTCGCATGCATCCTGCCTGCTACGTCGAGTTTGTAGGTCGTGGAGGGCGACACCCCCAGCCCCATGTTGCCGCTGCTGGTCACCGTGACCATGTCGTCGAAGGTCGATGCGCCGGTCGGCTTGGAGATGTTGAAAGTCGCGTTGGCGTTGGAACCCGAGAACACAGCCCTGGCGGTACCCCCGCTCCATTGCCCGAAGCCGTAGGTGTCGTTGTTGAGGTAGTCGAGTGATAGGAAATACCCGGGGTCAGAGGCGTAGATATTGACGCCGCCCGTGATGTGTACGTCGTTCCAGGTCATGTCCGAGGAATCTGGGGTGAACACCGAGGACATGTCTTGGGCTTTGCCGATGTCGTGCCCGGAATTGTACGCCGAGAGCGAAGCGTCGATCAACGTCGTGCCCGAGAGGGACAGGCTACCACACGAAATATCACCCAATGTCGAATAGCCCGCATTGAGGGTCCCCGTCGTCGAAATATTGCATCCCCCGAAATCACCCACTCCGAACGTGCCCGTGGTGATCTTGGTGGCATTCAGGCCGGATGCGAGGGCGGCATTGCCGACTGACCCAGCCGGAAGGGATACGGATCCCGAGGACACCGTGAGGCCGTTGGACGCGGTTATGGAGCCACCCGCAGTCAGATTGCTCGATAGATAGGCGCTCCTCCATGCGGTTGCGGACGCGCCCAGATCGTACGTGGCGGCGGTGGTGGGATTGTGTTGGCCGCTGGTGACGGTCGTGCACGAGAGGGTTCCCAGAGTGGACGAGCCCGCCCCGAGGGTCCCGGTCGTCGAGATGTTGCATGCCCCGAAGGCGCCCGCTCCGAATGTGCCCGATGTGATCTTCGACGCGTCGACGCTCGAGATGTTAGCGTTCGTCACGCAGCTCGTAGGCAGGGACACCGTTCCGGTGGCGGTGAAGTTGCTGGTGCTGAGCGCGCTGGTGACCGTGACGTTGCTGTCGAACTGGGCGGAGCCGTTGGAGACGTGGAATTTTGCTGAAGGGGCCGCCGTGCCCACACCGACCTTTCCACCGGTCTGCGTCAGGACCGTAGACGTTGCGTACGCGTAGGTCGCCCAGCTTGCATCCGTATATTGCGCGTTCGCCGTCAGGCTCGTGATCGTCGGCACGTCGCTCTGATTGTAGAACGCGTGGATGGTGACGGTGGGGGTCGCCGGTTGGCTCACTCCGGAGTGCACTAGGCGAAACTTGATCGTGTAGACCGAAGACCATATCTGAAGCTCGCACGCGTCCGCGTTTCCGTTGTACGCACTCCGCGGCATGCAGCGCTGCCACGCCCCGCTCGTCATGTTGTAGCCGGCCGCGAAGGAATACTCAGTCGTGTTCGTCTGGGAACTCGCCGACTGCACCACCGATATTACGAATGTCGCGGACCCCACCGACCCGACGTACTGTGCGATGTCTCGGCACGCGTTGGACGTGGTCGAGTCGAAGCTCGTGGTGTACGACCTGATCGACTCCCCAGCGACCACCAGGCCGTTGGACGTGCTCAGCCCGCCCGCCGCCGACACGGTTCCGGACAGGTAAGCATTTTTCCATGCCGTCCCGCTCGCTCCCAGATCGTAGGTGGCGGTGGTCGTGGGGTTGAGCTGCCCGCTGGTGACTCCGCCCGATCCCAATGTCAGATTGCTATTGTTCGTGGTGATGGTCGTGCAGGACAGCGTGCCGAGGGTAGAGGCGCCCGCCCCGAGCGTGCCCGTAGTCGAGATGTTGCATGCCCCGAAGGCGCCCACTCCGAATGTGCCCGTCGTGATCTTGGTGGCGTCGAGGCCGGACGCGATGGCGGCGTTGACGACGGAGCTCGCGGGAAGGGACACCGTGCCTCCGGACACAGTGAGGCCGTTGGAAGCGGTTATGGAGCCGCCCGCCGT